AAACTCTTCTGCCAAATGCCCCCCAAAAGTCTGTATTTGCATAGAAACAAAACCGCATTACCCACTTTTGATATTACTTTTAAATTTACAAGCTCTGATTGGCAGTGAGATATTAATGTCATAGTCTACAGGATGAAAATGTTTCCCATGCATCCCAAGAAACACTGAATAAAACAGATGTCTTGTATAAATGAATATGTGCAGATCACGTTGAGGTTTTAGCCATCGTCTTCCCCAGTCTAGATACTCACGCTCAGACTGCTCAGGGGTAAGGACCAGGATGGTAACCTTGGTTGAGTCTGATTGGCCTATGGTGTCGGTTACAGTCAGCTGGAACTTGTATATCCCAGATGTCAAATTGGACACCATAATCTGGTCTTTAAAGGTGGTTTTCTACAGGGCACAGAAAGACAGTGTTTTCCTATTATCCTCAAATAGATTTTTAAGGAAGTGACAGGTACAAATAAATAACATTACAGTGGACATTTAAAAAGGCAATATCAGACACAGATGTGGGATTGCATTTTTTTTTGCATTGCAGTCTCTTTTCTCACCTCAATGACAGCATAAGGATATGGAGTGAGCATTTTCCACAGGTAGGATTCAATCCCATTGTCATCTTTGCTCCCTATGCCATTGAGTACCACGCTCTCCTGAGGCTGGATCACCAGGTCCTGTCCTCCATTGGCCACTGGTGGACGGTCAGATTCATCTGGAGAGAGGCAGTGGTTTCAATGTCATGTGTGTAATCACATATAGACGAGTTCTACAGTAACTTGTGCACTTGCGGAGGTAGAAACAGAAACCTGAACCAGGGGCATAATGGCCTGGCGTGCGTGAACATGCTGAAGTGAGGGGTTTCGGCCCAAACTCTGTGGCCTCACATGTCAAACTGTGTTTTAACACAAACCACTGAAAGAAATTCTTTGAGCACACAAAAATAGATATTTCCTGAGTAAATGAGCCAAAACGATGTAGGCTATTTAACTGGTATGTGCACATAGACATTTGGTTTTTAAAGGGGGCTCATGTGGAGGGAAACATTTCTCTTAGCAGATGTTAGCCAAAAGGAAGAATTCAATGAAGGTGGATCCCTCTCTGATGTAAAATCTTCATCCATAACATATAGTAGTTCAGTTCTACAGAAACATAACAAACGTATGACTCACCACTGTGATCCTAAAGGATCCCTTATGACAGTTTTATCAACAGGGGGCCAAAACTGCATCTCTACATGATGTTTGTTTTTGTTATAACACTGCCATGCAAATGAATATCTTTCTTGGTTCTTTAGTTTGCTATAGCCTAAAAGTTTTGGTCTTACTTGGAGGAGCATCCTCTTTAAGAGAACTCTCATAAACGGTGTCCAGGATGTAATTCATGTATCCCGTCTTCCTGACAAAGCGGCAGACGTATTTCTTTTTGTAGAGACAATCAAACAGAAAGCAGGTGTTGATCAGGCCTTCTTCGTCTCCTCTCTCCATGAAGGCGACATTGCATTTCGGCTCCTTGCAGCAGGCGCTCAAGCAGTCCTTATATCGATTCAGTTGCGGCGACGAAATGAACGTCGCTCCGTGTTTCACAGATTCATCGGCTTCGAGAATAAAATCCTCCCGACCTTTCTTCAATCGGGCTAAGCATTGCTCACCAGTCTCCTGGCCAGAAGTGGATCCAAGAAGTAAAATTAGGAGCAGGAGCGCAGGCGCTCCCGTCCTTTCTTTACGGAGTGAATTCATTTTCAAACTCCCGTAAAGATTTCCACACAAATAAAAGCCAGAGACCACTTGTAACCACGGGAATTTGAGTATAGAATAAAAACACCCCTTCTTATATGAATAAAAAAAGTCAGCTTCCTCAAGGTGTGTTTAGGCCGCAGTGGGGCAAAACAGCACCGCGCCTGCTCACAGATCAAGCTTCAGTTAACTTGCGTGAAACAAGCTCCTGTCGTTTTGTTAACGCATCCAGAAATAGTGAAAAACGTCCACAATTACTTCCACGGGTCTGAATGTTAATAACTCTGAAACGCTCACAAGAGATTTAACCGACTGATGTCGACGAGGAGCCTACTACCTAAGAAACTGACGACATTGCCCAGGTGACTCACCTGAGATACAGGAAGTGAGATGCCACTCCCTTAGGCCTACGTTATTGAAATGGTCCCATGTAATGACACGGTATATGGCCTTTAGTAGAGAGTAAGCTGCTTTTAAACACTTTTACACTACTTTTAATTCTTCTTCGTCTTTTCACGGACATAGAATAGGTCTCTGTAGGTCAGCTTTTTGTTGTGGATTTTCTGTAGCCTATGAACATTTCTGTCATTTGTAACTGTGAAACACTTAAGAAGCTTCTTTAAAAATTGGCTATAAGAACTATATATTTGTATTTATCAGTTCAAACGGAATTATTATAAAAAAACATTCTCTTTTTATTTTTTCCATATCTGTGGTGGTTTACCTGTGCCCGTAAAACTGGGACAACTTTAAATTTAGAGACTGGACTGAGGGTAACCTTCAAACTTCCACACATGCTTCAGGGTGGCAGCATAGAAGACAGTCACACATATTAACATCAGCATAAAAAGACCTAAAACCATCGATAAGGTGAAAAAAAAACAATCAAATAGTTGCATAACTTGCACAGATAAACAAAACGAAAAGAAACAAAACAGCAAGATGAGTAAAAAGAAACATAATCTGGTGGTAATAGGGCAAAGTTGTATTACACAAACAAATATGTTGATGTGGAAAACCTTGTACTCTGGTCTGTCTTCACTTTGATGAATATAAGAATAGACTCGATGAGCCTCAGTTGTTCTGACCTAAACGTATATACATTTAATAAATTTAATAATAACATATAACACAAATCTGTCGACAGAGAAGATCTTGGAACAGCGTGTGTGTATGGACACCAGATACCAAAAAACCTAAAGTAACATTTAGTCACTCAGCTTTATACAGTATGTCATACAGCAGGGGTTTTCAAAGTCTGCGACTGTGGGCCTCCCCTCAGACAAAGCTTCACAAGGGAGGGCCGCCTCACACTTTGAAAACCTCTATTCTACATTATACAGAATCTTTTATCTTCACGGCAACAGACAGGCGTGCCAACAATGTGTGCTTTACTCTGGAACATCAACAAGGTCAAAACCTTGTCGTTACCTCCGGGCACCCTGGAGCTTGCTCACATAAGCCCTGCCAAAGACAACGAGGCCCTCTCAAGCCAACTAACCATGTTAATGCACAAATTAGACATTCATCAAGATACAGAATCAATTCATCAATCAATTCTTTTCTGATCATAACTTTCTACCACATATTTCTCGACAAGAAAGTACGTATGTAGAAGTGTTTTCATCTTTCAAGTTCACAAGCTTTAATCCAGAAGGTGGCAGTATGATCCCAACTCTGGCTGAAGAAACAGCTGAGGGTGAACTCTTTGTTTATTTTTTTTTCTCAAAGCATTGTAAAACACGCTTGTTGGCTCTTTGTTTCTCACATACAGTATCATCATTAACATGACTTATAATTTAAACTCCCACAAACTTCTTTTTGCAATAGTAGTGATACTGAGATGATTCATGCATTGAGTCATCGGAATGCACTAAGTGATGAGTCATGAAGCCACCTATGAAGTTATCATCAGCTTAGACTACAGGTAAAGCAGGAAGGTGTCGCTTAAATTAAGCAATAGGTTAATTGGTTTAGTGATGTAGACTGAATCATAATTCTAGCAACATTTAGCCAGAGGATAGTTGAGTTTTGGAAAGACAATGGTGGTATCCGCAAACTCTACGGCTTCCAGGGAGTGAGATGTTAGATATTCATCCAGCAGTGAAACTAAAAAGGTAGAGGTCAAGCTCATTTCCTGCCTCTGCCTTCCTTTTCTCCTGCATGGAATGCATCACCTGGCTGTGGCTCCAAGGTGAGAAGGCCTTACGCAGGTCTCCTTCCCCCCGCCTTTTTTTTTTGAAAACCCGACAATGCAGAACAAGCAGCATAAGACGAGATGAATGAATTTGTTTGCCTGGAAAGGTGAGCTGCTAGAAGCACTCAATAATTCAGTGTTTGTAACAGACGGTGCATCAGTGGGTGAACACGCACAACTATGGCTGATTGATAGTCTGTGCCAAAGCAAAAAACTGAACCCCATTATTCATATCGTAATAGGATCTGTGGAAACTCTGCAGCCTATTGTCTCTGTTGTCTCAACTTTAATAATTTGGCACCGGGAGGTACAACAATGAATTTATGACCTTGGGTTATGTGCTACTGTTGATGTTTGACTTCACAGTCATTGATGGTTTCAAGACTTTTATTTGACATTTGACTTCTGAACAGCCATAAATAGTGCTCTCCAGTTCATCCATTATTTAGGGGTTCGTAACCGAGGATGCCAATTTGACTTCAAGGCTTATTAAACGTACACCTGATAAAGTCTGTTATAAAGGACAAGGCAGCTATCACACTAGAGGAACCCTGGCTCACCTGTCAGGGGGAGCCAGCTATTGTTGGATGTGTTTCTGAACACAAGAGCCCTTAGCATGTCAAACCCTGTTGACTTTAGACTCTTACTGAGTGAATATTAGAATAATATGGTGTGTTGGGATATAGATGCCAAAAACCATATGATCAGAGATAAAGGAACAAAAGTACAAACATATTAAAGTAAACACATACACACACACACACACACACACACACACACACTGCTATATTTTGTGATGTCTGTAAGACATGTAGTAATATTCCTAACTTAATTGCTGTGGTTGCCCTCTCACCCTTTCTCCAGTTTTTAATCGCTGTAAGTGACCTATGCTCTCCCACCTGCTATAACACAGAGAGCAAAAAGCAAACACACACCCCATAAAGTGCGAGTGCACACACACACAAGAGCATGCACAAACTCACACATAGGCATATCTCATTACCATCCTCCTGATAGTGCAGCCAGTGGGTGTTGCAAGAGGAGGAGGGAAGGAGAGCAAGACAGTGAGAGGGAAAGAGTGGGGGGAGGACAGGCAGAGAACTAGAGCCAGTGTTACAGAGAGGGAGAGCAGAAACAGTCAACAAGATAACAAGAGCTACGCGTGGGACAGCAGCCCACCGGAAAAGCGACGATAGAGACAGAGCAGGCGAGCCGGTGTGCAAAACAAACGTGTCAGAGCCTGTGGGTCTGTCTGTCTGTGTGAGCTCAGTGTGTTTCCACGGTTCTCCCGAGGCCGTGGCAGCCATGGCATCAGACCCCAGCACCCAGTCCAGGGTGATGTTCCAGGCAACGGGCAAAACAGAGGAGCCGGCGCACCGCAAGCTGGGAAAGCTGACGGTCAAATACAACCGCAAGGACCTGCAGAGGAGGCTGGATATCGAGGAGTGGATCGACGGGCAGCTGCACCTCCTATTTGACTGTGAGGTAGGGTAGGGCTGGCTCACACAGACACACACTCAGACGCACACTGCCTGAAGAGAAGGAGGAGGTGAGGGAGAAGAGCAACGGAGGCAGGGAACTGCTCTTAGGTGCCAGTGGTGGGCTATCCGTCATGTATGAGAGATTATAGCGATCCTTAAAGAGCAGTGGGTGGGAAGCAAGCAGTTTTGCTTCATGGCTGCAATTTTTGGCACAGGAACCCTCATGTGTCATCGACCTGACAGCAGAATCAGCTGTGTGGTGTGCACCGTGGTGTTCCACCAGAGTGACTTTTTCCAAGAAATGACGTCTGATTTAAGATGTGTGTCTGGGATATGCAGACCCATTATTGTGGACACAGTCACTCAATAAATATGCATGAGTGCCCCTATATATTGCCATCCATCCATCATCATATGCAGTTAATACTAACACAGCCCATGTGCTATGTAAAAATGAGTTGTAATTTGGAAATGTGTCATCAATATTTCCATAGTGTGCCTAATTAATGGCCTCATTGCATAGATGGTAATATACAGGGGATTATGAGGAGACATCAGCCAGCTCACACACACACACACACACACATTCATAACTCTACTCCTGTAAGGTGGGATACAGTCCAATTATGTCAGAGGATACATATTGATTTGCTTGGCATTCTCTAAGGGGAAACCATGGCAACAGATGTCTCATCGCCCACATGAGGCAGCATGGCAGAGTGGAATTAGGGGTGTCTGTTAGGGAGCATGAGCTTCCTAATGATGATGCAGATCCGATGACAACACCGCCTACGTTTCATGCCGGAGAAGGCAGAGACAAACTGTTTCTCATTTAATTCTCGAACCACACAGAGACCCTTGGCTGCAGATGGCCTGTAGCCACCTCTCTTTCTCTGGCATCCCCTTACTCTGCCAGGGAGCCCTTTGAAAATGGCTTATACTAACGCTGCAGAACGTGAGCATGACTGGCCAGCTGACATGGAAGTTCAATACAACAAATTCTAATGAGAGTCAAGTAGCACCTCCAGTTATCTCTGCGCCTCATCTTTTTCTACACAAGTAGATAGTAAGGGTTATTGTGCTACTGTTTTCCTCATTACAATGCTTATTTTATGAGCTTGATTCCATTTACATCCCAAGCCTTCTTCCCTGTGGAAATGATAATATGCTTGTACAGCTGAGGGTGGAATAAATCACATTAGGGGAAACCAGGACATGTGGAAAACAAAAACAGATCTGAAGTCTTTCTCTGTGGACTCTTTTGATCCTGTCCCAGAAACATACAATTATTTCCACGTCATGTTCTGGTTCTAACATAATAAAACATAGGGATAAATTTGCAGCACATGTACAGCACAGCTAGTAGATGTTTTCCCAGCAAGCTGAATGATGTGATCTCGGTATGATTGATGAGATAGTGAAACACAGCAATAATTCCATCATGACAGTGCTGGACATTATGCAATGAAGTGAACATAAGCTCAAGTACAATCTACATCCTTGCAATGTGCAAAGTAAGGCTTTACTTTCAAGTTGTGATAATGGATATTTGCATCAACCACTTGTGTGGAATTAGTCGTGCCTTGTCCATGTGCACTGGCCGGTGCGATGAATTTTGCATGGGGCTCAGGGGAAGGTTACTCTGTTGGTTCTCAGAGTCTTCCGCGTGGAAGCATTTACCATCAGTCCCCTGTGTCACCACCTGAATTATTTAGCCGCATCTCTAATTCATACAAGTGCTGCCTCTGTCTGGAGTGACCACCTTCCTTTGCAAACTTCACACCTTTTGAGAAATGGTAAACTAATAAAGGGGGTGTGAATGAAACAGAGCTCTCAGGTAGACTCGAAAATGTTGAGCAATGTTTAGACTTGTGTGTGTAAAGTAACCCAGATCAGGGTTTCCCCCACTGCCACTAAACTGTGAGCACCTTTCAGTGAATGTTTGTTTTACTTAAATTAATAGACTGCAGGACAGTAATCAAAATTTCCACTGACAAAAGGTTAATTATTTTAAGACTTTGTGTATTGTAGATCACATCGTGTTTTCATAAGTTTTAATTTAAATTTAGGAAGTGGCTTATATAATTTGGATCTTCTCACTCAGTTTGCACTCTTTAAACTGTGTCATGACTCACTCAGTGAAGTTAATGAATATTTTGATCTGTGTGCCTCTAACAGGAAAAGGAAAGGGTCTGATAAGTTAAACATGCACTGGCATCTTCTCAGAACAGCTGGGTTTCCCGGCTTTTCCTTACCTTATAATAACACATAGGGTGTGTAATGGAACCACACTATGTTTGATGTTACGTTTACATTACTGTTACAGTGAATATTGTTTCTTGTCTTACATATAAGGAACACTTAGAGAACTACAGGAATCTAGCTGTAAGCAGGGAAACAAAAGTATATAAAGAAATAGTTCCATACTTTGGGAAATACATTTATTAGCTCTCTGGTCCAGAGTTAGATAAAAAATCCACCCTCATATCTGTATGGTCAGTATGAAGCTACATCCAGCAACTGGTTACCCTAGCCCAGATTTTACAAAATATGTCTAGTACCTCTAATGGTCATTAATTAACATGTTATATCCCCATTTTCAGTATTCATCCTAAGCGAACTGGACTTTGCACTGGAAATGTTGTCCTGGTGGTGGATCATCATACACGAATATCCAGTACATCCTTAGAGTGAATGGAAATGACAAGTTTTGGCCTGAGTGTTGCCCTAGATGATGGGTCAGGGGGGTCACTAAAATCATTAAAGCAACATCATGTAAGATTTGTTTTTTTGTGCAATTTGGCACCCCTACCGTTAGCACTACTGTAGAGTGTAATTCACAGCTTTTGTAACTAAGGACACCTGTACACGTGCATTTGTTATGACTACATTACTTTGCTAAGAAGACAAGACCACTCTCGCGATAGATTTCCCGTCCGGGATTTCAATGTTACACAATACCAGGCACTCCTGGCCGAAGTGGACACAGGCGCTATTCACCCCATTTAAATTCAGTGTACCATCAAAAATATTTTGAAGCTGTTATTTTAAGATAAAAATACTACATAATTTCACTTAACCATGAATAGCAATACTCAATGACAATCTTGCTAAAAGTTCAGAAATCTCCCTGTGGTTAAAAGTATTGCATGGGCTGACCGATTTTTCAGTACCATCATCCATTTTAGTAAACTTAATTTGCATAAGACTGCCTTAAACAAACTACAAGTAGCCTACTTGCAAGAGTAAAATCAAAAAATATATATTTTAAATGATCTTGCTGCTCTTGAAATTTGAGGTCCAAACCAAAGAAGTCCTGACAGAAGAAAAAACAGGTCACCTCAGGATACACCTTAATACTGATTTCCCGATTCTGAACTGACTTGTATATATACTTATGTCATGGAGGTCATCTTATCTCAACAAAATCCAACTGCTTATTTAGACTGCGTTTGTGTAGCCTGTCTAAAACTGCAATCCTCTGAGAACCACTTTGATATTCATGAATTCCAGTATTAGCGCCAACATTCATTTTAGCTTCGGTCTATTGCTTTTAACTTCAAAAAGTGCTGCTTAGACACTCCTGCCCGGAGGCCACATTAAAATGGGATTTTGCTCTGACAATGAAGGTAACTCTCAACAAGTTGAAAACTGTGACTGCGTACAATTTAAAATCCTGAAAGTTATTGGACGGGTGAAAGCATTTCTTCATGGTAAATGCACATGCTCCACTCAGCTCAGTGAAAATGCCTCTCATGATATTCAGTGGTGCTCTGCATGATTTAAAGTATATCCCTGTTACTGTCCCTATACTCATGACTGATGTAGTAGGTCACACTTTCACATTTCACAGTCTTTAGTTACTGAATATGCCACTCCAGATAGCCATTTGAAGTTCTGTGCAATTACTGGGAATATAATATTAATCCTTGTTACATCAACCCATGCTATCATTATTGCATATAGTATATTGTAGCAATTATGGTTATTCCCAAAATGTTTAGTTGGATGCCAAGAGGGTAGAGAATACACCTAATTTAAGAGCAGAAATAAGTAAATCTTTGAAATAACTAACATTCATTACTGTTGGGCTGCTCTAGCATCATGTTAGCTCTGGACTACATGCAGACTGTGGATAGCAAGCTGAAGCTGCATGTTAAGGAAAAAAGAAAAAAATGGATTACTGCAAACATGTAACCATATACAGAACACATATAATGAGCAATGGCTGTTATATAGGGCAATTCTTAAAACAAATCTGGACTATTTCATTTATACCAAACAGCATTTGGCCTAACCAATTGAAGCACAACACAACCACCCACAGGCTAACACAGCAGAGCTGGCAAAACAAAACCCACGCAGCACAGAAACGTACAGCATGGACCACAAAAAAAAAAACAAGAGTGCAGCCGTGCTTGTGTCCTGCAAGCATCAGCAGAATCACACGGGGTCCAAACTGGCAGCATGTATCAGTTAGAGGGGGGCACAGGAGACTCTGAAGGTGGGTCCATCTATTCCGCCACTCAGCACTTCCACCACATTGATTAGCTCTCTCCTCATCCAGAAAGCTGTGCGAGCCCCATCCTCACCAGCCATGAAAACTCTCCAACCGGAAAATATTCCACTTAAAAAAGAAGCCCCACTTGTCAAATGTGAGCGAACACCTGCTGACTCTAGATATCTAGGATTCCTCCAGTGAGCACTGCTCATTCTCTGAAAATGAAGTTAAAAGGTGCGGTTAAGAGCTTGTGATACAAACTTATTACTTTGCTATATTTGTTTTTTTTAATATATATATAACTGGAGAGTCTGTGCCCTTTTTTACAATCTCTGGATGTATATCTACATTAGGTTGACATTAATCTTCCAATTGCCATTGTTTAGTTAAGGCTAACATTTTAGAAAAATAGGCTTTTGTGGATTTAGTCAGACATCTAGTTCATATACTGCAGTTCATGCTGCCCTTGTGATTGTATATTAATGCAGGTAAACATACCATGTGGGACAACCTAGCTGAGATGAATATATTCCTTAGAAAATACTTCCACTGGAAATTATCTCTCAGAAATGGCTGAGCTGAATGCTAGCTGGGTAAACCACCCATGTAATCTGATGATGACATGTGGCAACTCCTCCTGGAGCCTTTCTGCCTTCATGCCTCAGTGTTCTCCAGCTTTGCTCATGTGTGCAGCACATCATCAATCATATCATTGTTATGAGAAATGATTACGGTGTTTATTCTTACTTTTACAATACAGCCAATACTATTAACACAGGTGACTGCAATGAAGTCCTTCCCATGTTCCCTCACATCTGGGATCACAGCTTACACTTTCTTTTCCTTCTGATTGACTCTGCTCAGTGATGTGGACTATCCTACCACTGTGACTAAAAGGATGGCAAGATGCCCACATTATACAATGTTTGCATGTAGCATGCAGTGAGGGCAATATAGTGAAAGAGGAATATTAACCTTCGATAACCCTAACGTTTGTTGTTTCTCTCTGCCTTTACAGGAGGAAGAGATTCCAGAGTTAGAGATTGACATAGATGAGCTTTTGGAGCTGACGGACGAGGGGCAGAGAACCCGGCTGCAGGTAAGAATGTGCAAGTTAAATTAAAAACAATGACATTTTTTTCACACTGCATCTCTAGTTATTTGTATATCAAGCAGCTTCTTGGAACTGTTCAAACTGCAGTTAGTCAAACAAAGGTCAACCTGAAGTCACATTTTAACACCTTGTTCCTCACTGATACCTATTAGCTATGTGGGGCAATAGCTTAACAAACTTAACTTGCTGGAATCCAATGTCAGAATCAGAATTTTGATTCTGCAATGTTGCAATGTTTGCAGTGAAAAAGCAATGTCCAGTGCTGTTAGTGAGACTATTTGCATTTGTTTTCTTTCTTAGGAGTTGTTGCAAGAATGCGGAAAGCCGAAAGAGGTGAGACAAAAAAAACATATATGAAGCTACATGCAAACATATAAAGATTTCAATTTGAAACATTGATTTTTACTGTTACTGTTGTCATGTCTTGTGTGTAAAAGTTTCCAAACATTTTCTCCATTTTTCCCCACAGGATTTTATCAACAGCCTGCTCTACAGGATAAAGGGTCTACGCAAAATGTCAGGTCCCTTGAAGAAATAATTATAGGTCAAATAAAGAATTGAGACAAGGTGGAGGCTCTTATCTTCCCATCCCCCATGTGTTAACTGTTTGGATGCCTGTATGTGTGGTCCCCCCACCCCCCTGGGTCAGCATCAATCTAACACCAGAGCAGTTGGGGTTTGAATGGCTGAATAGTTTTTTATTATTTCACTTTATTTTATGGACAGTTATAACATCTCGTCTCCCATCAATATACCAATAATGCACATGTGATAAAAGTTGTACTATTACTCAGACAGACTGTTTCTTTTGTGTAAGACTGTACATTTTCTGTTGCCTATTTATGTACATAAATATTTTTGTTCTGATAGCAGTGTTATAAGTCAAAATAAAATTGAACATTTTCAAGACAAGTCTGTTGATGAGATATCAAAAGGGTTACATCAGATTTTCAACAGTATGGTATCATCAGGTATTATTTATTCCACACAAATAAATACTAACATTCCAATTTACAGTACCAATTAAACTACAGTTACCGCAATTTCCTTTTACTGCAGCTCTAAAACATTGATTTGCCTTTAAAGAATGATTTTGTCCATTGTTCAAGAACAACTACAAGACTTTACTGCAGTGTGGCATAGCTGTTAGCATATCATTCCCAGAATGCAAGCTTCTGTTGTCTGGCGTAAATGTTTCAACAGAGTGATGGAGACAATAAAGACGTTGACATGCCAGGTCTAGGAGTAAACACAGTGAAATCAGCAGCAGGAAGGTCCATTAAGTATGCACCCATTATCCTCATCCATTTCCTGCCTGCGGTGCGAGTCTGACATGGGAAGAAAAGGCAAACACGGTAACGGCCTCCATACAAACTTTAATGGAGCAAGCCCCTAGAGGAAAGTGTAATTATGGTTTCTCCTCAGTTAGCTTCACAGTAATGCACACTGATGAAGCTGCACCCTGGCCATCTCACTGTCATACATAGAGGGTCTTTCAGCTGAGGGCTCCATCATAGTAATTTCGCCCTCACTTCCACTCTTCTCTGACACACAGGCCATCCATACTCCAACACTGCCTGCCAGCCTGGGACATTTTCGTAGAGTGATATTATCAGCAATAAAATAAAAAAAACTTCAGCAATGAAAATATAACTAAAAGGGAATGCAGCGTTACCTCAAAGAGGATAGCTCCTAACACTTTTGCGTCCTTTATAATGAAAGTACACACAAGGACAAGAAAGGCAATACTCATGTCAGACTCACAGCCAAACATAGATTACAAGTGTGACTGCAGTGCCTGCCAAAAGAAAACAAAGCCCTCAGTAATCCTTTTATACTGACTCCTCTGTACTTCTTCAGTCCAGAGCTGATAGCAGTCTGGGATTGTATCTTGCATCTTATCACGCAAGATGAGCTCATGATGTGTCTGCTTTCTGTATGTGTTATAATCAAATGGTGACAAGTGCAAAGTGTGTCTACGATGAGCCTCTGTTGCCTTTGGGAAGTAGGACAAGTGACATAAAAAAAATTTAAATAAAACCTTCTTCAAGCTTCTTATCTGGTTGGCCAGTTTTAAAACTTTTCTGTGTGCAGAAGCTGTGCATTTTGCTAAAATACCAACAATGTCTAGCAGCCTCTGCAAGAATTATGTAACTCTATTTTTATACATTACAGAAAAAATAGGAGCTATGTTTTTCATATTATACAAAGTGTATCACATTTACATTAACATTCGTCTATTTCTAGTCTCTGCTTCGCCATAAAAGTTACCTATCATTTTTTAGTTGTTCAGTTAATCTGTTAGCCATTACAGAAAGCAGATGCTGCATGTTTGTAGCAAATTTGGACAGTTTGGATAAAAGAGGATGGGGTTAAAATGAAGGGTTACGGCTTGCTTTACATAATAGGTAGTGTTTAAATTTTCTGAGACACTGTTTTATTAACAATAATAGGTCACTTAAGTCGAAAGCACAGGTATAACAGTGATGACTGACTACAGCCTGATAAAGCAAACACCTACAGCACAGTCTCACTATCATGTCTTCCTCTTCTTCTTTGGCGCAGTGTAGTTAGTGGAGCGATGCTCCATCCTGTCATATTTATCATGGCCTTCCCTGGGGAGATAATGGAGAGTGGATTGATAATTCATCCCACTAAATACTTTATATTCATGCTGCTTCACAGTATGGCAGCAGCCTGTCTACAATTCATCTGGGTCATGGTATACATTCCAAATCACAGGCATCTTCCTAAAATTTCCATGGGAAGCTCTACTATGAGACAGAAACCAGAATTAGTCTTGCGCTTGTTATAATGAATGTATGTCATGCTACCTGAAGCAGCGGTTGCAGTATAGGTCTCCATCACAGGTGTGACAGCGAAGGGTGGCGTCTTGGTTACAGATGCAGCACCATGGAAGCTCTTCCTCATCACTGTCTGATGGCTGATATGCAGCCGGTGAAATCCTACTCTTGGGTGCTGGAGCCTGGGTCTTAAAAAAACATCAGATCAACAGGGGGTTAAATGTTATGTTCTCAAATAACTTATAAAAATTAAGAATTTTGCTTTTTGGCAGTTTTGTACCGGTGCCTTCTTATAAGTTTTTTTCTCTTCTGTGTTCTTTGGCCCACTTTGTTCCAAAGGTATGTTGTAGCCACTGGCTTCATCCAATGCAGCCTCTTCAGAGAGCTGGAACAAACATCAGAAACACAGGGATTTCAGAGCATGTCCTCCAATTCACATTACAAATGATTAAAATGGCAAAATAGCAGCCCCTTGTGGCCTCTTACAATGGTCCAGGTTTGTTTAAAGATCAGATCACCTCTAAGAGGTGTGACATGCACCCAGAAGTAATAAAATGAAATGTATTATAATATACATTACAGTATTAACTTCATTTTGCATTAAGCCCCAGACCTGCTTTAACACTCGCATCACAGCTTCTTCCTCAGTCTCCTCCTCACTGTCAGGATGCTGAAAGTCCTCCATAGTAACTAGAGGTGAAAGTACAAACACAACAATGACAGTTTCTCTAAGACATTCACACTTCTGTTACAACTTTTTATTTAAAAGTCAATCAGACAACTGCAACTCATTCAGAACGCTGCTGCTCAGGCTTCCTGTTTGTAAAATAACTTATTTTAAAATATTACTGTTTATGAAGCACTAAATGGTTTAGGACCAATATACATTTCTGATCTTCTGCCACATTATAAACAATCCCGACCTCTCAGGTCATCTGAGACAGGTCTGAGTCAAATCTTAACAGAATTCAGCTTACATGCACCATATATCTGAAACAAACTACCAGAAAAATGCAGTTCAGTTGATTTAAATCAAGGTCTAAGACTATTACTTTTGCTACTACCTTTAATTAAATAAAATTCAAGGCTTTTCACTGCACTGTAACTTTCCTGTTGTTTTGTCTTATGTTTATTTTCTATTAAACAATTGTATTTCAGTGCCTTGCCTTATGGCCACAATGTTGACAGCTATAGCTCTTATCATATTTTCTGACATTCTGATGTGGAAGTAAGGATACCGGATACCACCTACCAGTTAAGAAAGTGGTACACCATGATCTTTGCGTGTGATGTACCTTTGTCTGGGTCCTGCCCCTTCAGCTGCGCCAGCCTCTTGGCCATGTGGAGGATCTGATCCTGGGAGTGGTGCTCCTTCCTCAGCTCCTCCATGGCCTCCTCCAACAGATGGGCCTTCCCAGCCTCCAGCTGCTTGACCGCCTCCTGGTTCTCCTCCAAATTCTCATCCAATGTGCCCTCCTCCCCTTTGTTGAGATCATTCATACAGCCATCTACGCCTGAAAAGGGATTAATAGCAGTGAAAAATTCAGCATATTTAGGAAGCCCCCCCAGAGTAGCTCAACAAAGTCCGATTTTGGTGTCAGAATGCTAAATTGATATATTATTATGACTGCATGAAATTATGATATTACTGCATCATTAATTAGTAACTGATATGTGGGAGAAATTAATGAAACAAGTAACATCTTACTGGATTCAGGATTTGATTGTTGGTTATCTATGGAAACTTCCTCTGTCATCTGAGTAATCAAATCATTTGCTTGTTCAGTCTGAGTCCTGTTATCCGGAGGCTGGTGCACCTTTACAGATGAGCACAAAAGTACATTCACTGGTGAGCAATTATAGCAAACTATTTAACGTGCAGTGTCTTCTAAATAGCCTTTAATACTCTAAGCTGTCCATGTCGACAAGTAGGGAGAGGTTTATCTCACAGGTGGAGGAGCTTGAGATGGTGGAGGTTGACCCCGTAGAACTGCCAGACGGTCCTCCATCTCCTCTGCAGAAGGCACTGGTCGGCTGGGAGCTTTCAGAGCAGCAAGGCGAGACTCAAGCTCTTTCTCAGAGGGTATAGACTCTGAAGAAGAGGTAAAAAGCTTACAATGGCTTTTTCCAAGAGAAAAAATATTGGTAATGTATTTGTCGGATTAAATTAAAAAGGTTGCTGATAAAAATCTAATTTCATTACTTGGGGCAGTGTCCTCCTTCAGCTTTTGAAGTCTTTCAGCAATAGCCTGATCTTCTTTACTCAGGCCTTTGGTAGGTAGATGGCCTGCTCTAATGTTTCTATTGGCCCCATGTGCAAGAGGCTGTAACAGTCCCTGCTGTTTGGCCTCAAGTGCAGCGACACGTCTATGGAAGAAACATGATTTTTAGATATCATGAAACTGCTGTGTGTTGACAAAGTTCTTTTTTCACATTTGATCATATACTGACTTTTTGTAATTTTCGGGAGGAGACCATTTCTCAGCACTGTTTGGAGATTCCCCACTAAAAATGAAGAAATTGAGATAAGCCATAATGGTTAATTAATAATAAATTAATAATCACTATTATATTTTTCTGCATGGTTTGACCTTTACCTTGTCAGATTACCGTGGCACTGTTTGCAGACTTTCTGCTGGGTGTTGCCACAGCGAGGCACCACAGCACTGAAAGTCAAACAGCTGGAGCAGAAGGAGCGGCCGCAGCTCTTACAGCCAAGCTGTGAGGATATTGCAGCGTAAATAACACCGTTTACTTCCCATAAAACGTTTAATGTGTTACCGTACACAAGCTATGTGGTCAGTATTAGCCAGCAAGATCTTACCTCCTTCTTGAAGAGACTGAACTTTGATGCACAACAATAACAACGGTTGTCCATGCCAACACGTGTAGACTAATAGTCATCAGAAAACGGACTTATACTGCTCTAGCATGTACATATGAAAAAGAAAAGTGACCCTACGAACAATAATGTGGCAGCTAGCTACCTATTTCAACCTTTCAACGTTTCTATAATCATAACAGGAACCATCCCGGAAGATGCGGAGTGACGTCCGTTTGCGTTTTCCTGCGTCTGGCTTGTCCAATCAGCTTTCTCCAATTTCTCTCGCGGTCCTTGTTCAAAACATAGAACCGACCGCTGAACTGTTTGCCTGCAGCAACGTTGTAGATGTAATAATCTGCAAAAGAGACAAAAGGACGATAGGAAGCGGTATGAGAACCACCATTTTGTTGATCACCAGTTTTATGTTTATATTTGACTGATATGTTTAATTAATATTTCGAACAACGACCAAAATCTCGAGCTAAAGCTAATGTTCGCTAGCTAGTGTGTTAGCTCCCCCACGTCATGCACTCATTAACGTTAGTAAGTTAGCTAGGACACTGGAAACAGCAGAGAAGTCCTTCAGTCATGGGTGTAAACTAATAGCTACAATAAATAGTAATTAAAAAAAAAAAACTGTTATGGGACACTTTAAATACGAAAGCCAACTTACGTCGCTGTTTTACAACCTTAGTTATACAATGCTGTAAGAAGCTAACGTTAAAGGTCAAAGATTAACGTTACATGTCAAGATAAATATAAATACATTGTTAATAATAAATAAACTTTGTACAACTCCCTGTGTGAGTAACGTTTATGATGTTATTCCATAAGCCTTTGAATGAAGGGAATACAATCTAGCCAGGTTGTTTTAGATTGTATTCCCTAACAATCAAGTTATTATCAATAAATCTTTCAGTATTTTTAGGTAATTGATAGGTGTTCCTACAATAAAATGTAAGATAATAGTAAAAAAAAAAAACGTCTTCAGATGGCTTGTCCAACGAACAGTGAAACATCCAATGATATCAAGTTTACAATTACAGAAAACTGAGAAAAGCTGTAGATCTTCACATAGGAGAAGTTGGAAACGTAGAGTGTTCGGCATGTTTCCTTGATAAATAGCTTAAACAATTAGTTGATTATCAAAATTGAAAGTGAGAAGAAATAAGGCTTTTATGCAAATTTTGTTCAAAAGAATATATTTGAAAAGATCATCAGCATAGACAGGAGCAAGTTCAAGAAGATATTTTAGAAAATAAGAACTTAATAAATTCTTAAAATCACTAATAACTGATTATGTTTGTGTGATTGTCTGTCTGCCTATTGGCATCTAGGTGTTTTAATTTCAACAATGGCAGAAGGAGGAAATGTTGAATGGGAGCTAAGCAAAGAAAACATACAGCCACTGCGGAGGGGCAGAGACATATCAGCCTTACATCAGGCGCTCAGTCAACAACAGGACGGACTCAGCTCTGCCCTCAACCAGCAAAGACAGTATGGATGATTTTTAAAACATTGCACCCAGATTGTGTGCTGGCATTTTCTCTGTTGAACACGTTTTCACAGCAGTTATCACATATTGATTGAGCTTTTGTGGCTTTTTGTTTCTCCAGAGCCTTTGAGTCAGAACTGCGAATGTATGACGGAGATGATCCACTGGATGTTTGGGATCGGTAAGTCAAATGTGTAAACAGTAAACTGCTCTTAAATGTGAGAGGTTTTGTTTTTAATCCTCACATGGCTCTGTCTTTTACAGGTATATTAAGTGGACTGAGCAAACCTTCCCTCAGGGAGGAAAGGAGAGCAACCTCGCTAAACTGTTGGAACGAGTTGTGACCAAGTTCACAGAGGAAAAGAAATATCACAACGACCCTCGTTATGTTGACCATTGGATCAAATTTGTATGTGTAATATTTTAACCTATGACTATTGTTGCTACTTTGATAAACTAATGCAGCAGTAATAACTTTTGCCATACATGTGTGTTGTGTGTCATTAGGCAGAGAACTGCCCAGAGCCCTTGGACAATTACAGGTACATGCAAACGCAGGGAATAGGAGTAACACAGGCATCCTTCTACATCGCTTGGTCTGAGGAGTATGAGAACCGGGGCAACTGTCGCAAAGCAGACCTAGTTTATCAGGAAGGATTCAAGAATTGCGCTGAGCCGCATGATAAGCTCCTGCAGTTTCACAAGTATGGATTAATCCTGTAAAGTTTGAGATATTGTTTGAAAATGCAAAATGTTGGCATAATCACAATTATCTGTATTATTCGTAGGGCTTTGCAGGCACGTGTGTCCCGACAGGTAATGATGAATGTGGAGGAGGACGATAGTGATGATGAGCCTAAACAACATGAGAGAGTTTCTCTAGCCAACCTCAAATATAGGGGGAAGAAAAAGGCCATTGCCCCCATCAACAGATCTGGGACTGCAATCAGAAGTAAGTAGAATATGTCTGTGAAGATACTCAGTCATCCTGGTCATAGTTATCCAAGATTGGTTGAAATCAGTCAATTCAACTGGTTAAAGATACTTGAAGACGTTTCGCCTGTCATCCAAGAGGCTTCTTCGGTTCTGACTGACTGGCTGACTTTAACATCTGTGGAGTTGTTATCAAGGTGATGGATACTGCCTGGTTCATTAGTGCTCCTGGCTGTTGTAACGACAGTCTTTATGGTCATTGGAGTCACTTGAAGTCTGAATGACCATAGTTGGCATTGTCGCGTGAGACCAAATGTGAGAGTTTGTGCAATCTCCTGGGAAGGGACGAAAGGACAGCATTGGAAATAGGGGATAAGTCCTTTTCATCCTCTCGAGTAGTCACCTTGGATAAGTTGAATATTAAAATAAAAATGTAATCAGATTTTCCCAGTGCTCCAGCAGCTTTTAAATTTTAATATTAGGGCTGGGCGATATATTGGTATTATGAGGTGTACCGATATAATTTCAAAAGAGATATAAAATTAGACCATACTGTTTATACCAATATAGTTTGATGTTGAGTTAATTATTATGTTTCCATAAAGTCCTGCCAGCGTTTGCTCCTCTCTCCCTCCCTCACTGCACAGCCCTGCCCCTCCCTCTGTATCTGCAGGCAGCTGTCTTCTCACAAACTCTCAACAACATGGAGGGAGACACAGTGCCGGCCTGGCTTGTAAAAAGAAAAACAACGCCTCAGTCAGTGTTTCCCAAACATGCACTTTACTTTGGCGGTCCCCCCAGGTTAGGCGACATATTGTAGCATTTTTCTGAGAAACACAGAGTTATTACGTTACAAGTCGCGACATGTCGGATATTTTAGAAGCGCGGACCAGTTAGACAAGCGACAATGAACACACCAGTCAGATGTCATTTGTTAGCTACCATGTTGGATTTGTTTTGATAGGCTACGCCAACTCCTCAACATGCAGCGCAGCTGCTGCTGTGAACAAAATTGCGGGAGAAAAAGTCCAGAAGACAAATTTTTTTTGGCGACTTTATATAACACAGCCTACTACTGATGGAGCAGACTTGCATGGAGAGGGACAGATTGAAAGAAGCGGGGCGCGCTTACGTGTTTGCAGCAGAGGTCTGTGAGTGTGCATACTTAGCAGAAAATACCGAGATATATTTTCAGAATCAGAAGGAGCTTTATTGCCAAGTAGTGTTTTACACATACGAGGAATTTGCTGTGGTGATAAGGTGCTACACGTAGATAAACATACAGTCAACATGAATAAATGTAGAAATATATAAATATGGAGTGGAATTTTATACTGGTAGTCAGCCTAACAATACCGGGATATGACTTTTTGGTGTCATTGGCCAGCCCTAATTAACATTATCATTGAAAGGTCTGTTTAATTTTGATGTTTAATTGGTTTTGTGAACAGGTATTTCTGGAGGCCTGCAGTCACACACTGCCCCTGTCCTCAGTAATGCTTCAAACAGTCAATTGGTGATCTTTGATGAGAACAAGGCTCAAAGTGCTGGCCCTTCAGAGCCTAAGATGGAGTCTTGGATGGCCCCTCCCACTTCCAGGGCAAAGGAGAATGAGCGGAGGCTTGAAAAATGGTGTGATGTCAAGGTATGAGACCAACAAGCAGGTGTTGTGTTAATTGTTTAAATGTGTGAAATGTAAACCAGTGATGTCAATTTAATGTGTATGTACCCTAGATGCCACAGAAGTCCAAGTTTGGACATACCGTTATGGCCCCACCGCCTCCCAAACCCACCTTCCAACCATTTGTTGAGGAGTCAGACCAGCCTCCAGTGATGTGAGTGACTACAAGAATCTTTAGTTTTATCTGCAGTTTTGATTTGTTGGTTGTATTTGCTGAACATTTTATTTACATCACACATTCAGGTCCCTGATAATGAGAAGCCCCAGATTCCTGAAATTGATGACTAGCACTGAAATGAATTAATCAACAATTATGATAATGAAGTAAAGCACTTCCTGTTTCAACCTCTCATTCTGATCATTAAGAAAAGTTTAACCACATAATTAACCATCTGGTTTCTTCAGGTTTCACTAAGGAGCAAAAATCAGACTTTAAACTTGAAAGAAATAATGATTTGACATTTATCGTGATAATTATCGATATCAAATGATATGAAATGTTTTTATCGTGATAACATTTTTGGCCGTATCGCCCAGCCCTACTTTCAATTGTGATTTTTTTTTATTTTTAGAAAGATGGCCAGACAATTCAAGCTATTTTTGACTTATTTTCAATGATAGTTTATTCCTCTCAGCCTATGTTAGTTAAATTTCTTTGATTTCTTTGGCATCTCAGGACTCCATGTAAAATCAACTCAGCTGTGAACACCGTTTTATCATCACGTAAGCCCTGCAGAGAGGAAACTCCACTAAAGAGACTACAGGAACACCATCAGCAACAAAAGGAAGCAGACTCAGGAAAACTACAGGAGCAGAGCATGTACTGTAAAGAACTGCTGTTCAGCGGCGCCACTGAGTTCTGCTTTGAGGAACTGCGTGCGGAGCGCTTCTTCAAAAAAATGGCACAAGAATCACAGGAAGTCAGAGGTGAAAAGGCTTAAGCTAGTTCCAGTACTTCAAACTGATGCATCTAAGAAGTCTGACAGTTTTTTGTTGTATTTTTACCTGCATTTAGACAAGATATTATCTGCAAGTATCATGTAGTTACTGTATTGCTTTTATCCTGCTGTAAATATTTTATTCATAGAGTTTTCCCGAAAGGTAAAAAGACAAAAAAGGGGTAAAGCTTTTTGGAAACCCTTTGAACTGAAGACACAGTAATTTAATAGTTGTATTGGATTTGTTAAAATACAGTGAGTGGACCAAATAATGGGAACACCTGTACAATGTAATTTAATCTGGTACAAAATTCTACAAACTGCAAAACTGACAATAGCATGAAATAAAAATCCACACATCAACAAAGAATATAAACTACATGGGCTTCATGGTACCATTTAAAGGGCTACTGGAATGTATTGTTTGTTATATCAACTCCTTGTAAATAGTAAACACGTTTGTCTACCACAGCTAAAGTCTGCCACAGAAATACTATTTCATTCTTGGTCCATTTATCCATATTCTTAACTGCACTGTTCTTGAGAACTGTGTTTGTTTGTGTGCTGCCTTTGATTTGTCTTGATAGAGATACAGATATTTCAATACATTTCCAACAAAGTCTAAAGATTACTGCAGTGAGGTGACTCCACTGCGTTTTATGTCTCAGTCTGAGTGAAGTGTGTCTTTGATGTTCAATAAACTTGTTAAAATGTTGGGCTGATGACTAGTGGTGGGAGGTTTTTTTTTAGACAGCAGCTGATTGTAGTAATGCACTGTCAGCAGGGAGCATGCGACAGGAAACATGGATTGTATGGTAATGGTATTTGGATTACTAATGGAGCACAAGAACAATTTAGTGTCGTTTGTAATCTGTTGCTGCAGTTTAAAGAGCCAACACTAGTGGGCAAGGGTTAAAACAGAAACAATGTGCATTTAAATAGTCATAAATGCCATCATTATTGCTACTTATTCTAATGCAGTGACTTTATTTAACTCCCTCACACAGGTATACTTGTGCTTTTTAAGGAATCCAGGCACGAGATCCTTATGAGCAGATCATGCATTCAGCTGGCCAAATGTTAATCATTGTCCAGGAGAGGCTACCTAGAAGCCTGCTGACTAAAGTGGTAGGAGTAAACCTAATCTACTGTGATGATGGGATGTACTTCACACACAGGCAGCTTTGCAGGGCAGACTTTGATGAATGGCTGGAAGATAGGTGGTTTGCTCATTAGCAAGTGAAATCCACCCTTTGCGGTTGTGGGCAGACCTCGGTTATCCCCAGGAGGTCACCACCCTGATGTACTGTGGCACAGAGTGTTGCTGCTTTTACATGCACATGGAGCACTGTAGGAACAGACTTTAATCTCATATTGGAAATATGACACTGCCAGCAAAGATCCTCTCAACTGGTGAGTTCCCAAACTGTCTACTTTAAATTTTGGCTTAGCACTGAGAGCAGCTGAAATTCAGTGACAAATGATAGGCAACATGATGCACTCCCATCATAATAACACGGCATAACCATATCATAATGCATCATCTATGGCTTGCTATTTGGCAGGACTTATTAAAAGCTCATTCCATGGAAGCAAGCAGCCAGTGACTCCGATAGCGCCTCAGACAGAAAATCCATAGCTCTCTCTTACTGCAGTGGACAGATGGTACAAGCAAGCCACCTTTCCTTAATGCGCTTTGGACAGACCCTCAGAGAAGAGCTTTTGTCCAGCACTGTTACTGTAATAGACAAGAACACTCTGTGTGGGCTGCCATCAGAGCTCTTAACCTATTTGTACGGTTACGTTTTTTTTTTTAGATGCAGCAGTTCACAGAAAGTTCTCTACCCGAGCCTCTACAGTACCTCACTTACAGGTCAGTAGGCATTTTGCATCAAGGTGAGCAGCACTTGGCTAACCAGGCATGGAGAAGGAAGAGTGTAGCTGCAAACATGAGACCAGTTTCTTTAAAAAGCCCATTTCTGCCAGGAAAAGAACAAAAGATAGAAATTTAGGCATGATGAAAAAAAATTTACTTATAGTAGTTGTGACTTACTATCCCATAATTTTGATTTACTTTTTTATCATTTTGAATTACTGTCCCATAGTTTTGACTTACTTCATTATTCATTTATACTCAATAAATCAACATTGTATTGAAATAATGACTTACTATCTCATAATTTTGACTTAGTAAGTCAGTATTTTGACTTTGTATCTTGTAGTTTACAATTCTGACTTCCTAAATCGTAATTGTGACTTTTTAATCTCATAATTGTGATTTACGGTACCTGGTGTGAATTTGTTTTTATTAGGACTAACTTGTAATTTATTTTTTATTTTCTGTCCAGAAATGCTTTTCAATATACAGTATGAATGACAGAGCTTTAATTTCTACTGTAGTAGCCTCACTCTTACCGAATTTAAATGGATTTATAGGTCATCTGGAAATGTCAATGGCATTTCCAGATGACCTATAATTTCTTTTGGCACGAAATTACATTTGCTTTAGCTGTATAGGCTGAACCTGGATAACCCCTGGTGTAATCCTTACAGATTCATCCTAAACAATAGAATGAATTAAAATGCAAACAATTAAGGCAGTATCACTTATAGGCTTTCATTGTAATGACAGTGGTTTAAGACTACTCTTGTTCCTGTAAGCCCTTTTTTACATTACAGGCTATTTTCCCACTGTTTACCCAAATGGGGGGTCAATGTTTTCAGGAGATGCTTTAGCAAGGTCATTAAGTCTGACAGTGAAGCTGACAAATTAATTTGAATAAACCCTTATAGTCCCTGTTAATCTAACAGAAATCTTATATACCATAATGATGTAAAAACATAGACAATATACAACATATATATAACATTTGACCCTTCCTGTTTCTCTTCATATCGGCCAAGCGGGTACACTAATAATTACAGCAGATATCCTGAGCAAGCTGAGCTGTTTTTTGTGGTAACCACAATTCTTTTGCACATAAAAAAACGTTACATTACAAGAGCGTTTTTATTGCTGTTCGCAGCTCTGAACTAAAAGAAATCAGGAAAATATGTCAACCGAGGCAGTAAAATATAGCAATGCCAATAAATAGCTGTGACAATAATGCTGACAAGTAAGAGTGAAATAGAGGGAGGGGTCGTGTCTGCCAAACCCCCAACAGGCAAAATCTGTCATTGTTATGCAGATTGGTTCAGTGGAGCCTTTTTCACTTGAGTTTATTTGATGTGTAAGGAGGAACATCATTATTTAAGCCTGTTGTAGAGCCTTTGCATGCGTCTCTCATATCAAAACACCATGTTTTACACATAGGCCCTGGATCTGGCTCACACTACAAGCAATTTCTGCATGACTTGACCCTAATACATTTCCCTGCTTTGTGTCTGGTCTTTGCTGCTGTATAAATTATTCAGGAAATGATTGTGGTAAAAAGAAAGGGGAACCTTTCAGTCAAATAATGAGGATGCTGGACTGGGGCAACATTGTAACTTCAGTTTCTTATGCCTTCATCCACAAAGATTTCTGGGTCACAATGGACTCAAAAGAGATTGTGAGGATGAGGATTTCACCCTCTACAGAAATAGCTCCACAATATGCCCCCCCCCCCTATTTTTTTTTGTTTTTTGTTTTTTTTACACTCAGTGATACTACAACCCCTCCCGTCATCTGCCATTACTGACCCTGTCATTCAGTGGATAATACAATAGACTGAACAGCAGCACACTGGGCGAATGCAGCACCCTCATGTCACCCACATTATGTGTAAAGGAGACAGAGGGGGAGATGGAGGTGGATGAAAGGTATCCCAGGTGATGAGGTGTAGCGGAGCTCTCCTCTCCTTACAGTCACTGGAAACCGGCTTTAAAACACACACACACACACATACACACACTGCTATCAGTTCTTTTGCAGCCCAATGAGGGAGTGGGAGGAGGCAGAGAAGGAGGGAAGTGATAAAGAGAGAGAGAGAGAAAGAGAGGGAGGGAAAGGGAGGTGGGAGGGTGTGTGTGTGTGTGTGTGTGTGTGTGTGTGTGTGTGAGAGAGAGAGAGACAGCGAGCCAGAGAAGGAGAAGGAGAGGGGGGGATGGAAGGAGCTGTATGGGGCCGTGATATTCTCTCCTCCTGGATGCTGCCTTTCCTCTTCATGGCTTTGTCCCTCTTTTGTACGGTCACCCTGTTTCCCCAGGAGCAGGCACCGTTACGCGGACCAGCACTCAGCCACGGAGCCGGGGATGAATCAGCCCCGACAAAGAGCCTTTGAGATGGCAGTGTGTGCTTCTGCCTGGAGGGAGGAACGCATCAGGCTTTCCCAGGCAAGCGGCAGCCTGCAGTGTGCGCTTGCTTAGGAGCTAACCCTCCTCGCCGTTGTGTGCATGAGAGAGAGAGAGAGAGAGAGAGAGAGAGAGAGAGAGAGAGCGTATAAGTCCATGAGTGAGTGTATGTGTGTGTAAATGTGAGTGAGAGGTGTATAATAGTGTGTGTGTGTGTGTGCGCACACACTCTGGCTTCCAATCCTTCCTCTCTCCTCTTCACTACAAGGCAAGGTAAGAGGGATGACAGATTTTCTTTCCCCTCCCCTCTTCTAACAATGATTTATCCCACCAGAGCCCCATTTCCTCTCTGTGGGGGGGTGGAGGGGGTATGCCGTCGGTAGGCTTCAACCGTGGTGGAGGGAGAGAAGTGGCTGTGAGCAGAATGCAGTGCAGCCAGGTGCTGATGTGAAGGACAAAAAGGGAAGACGGAGAGGGTTACTGGATGTATTTTGTGATGGACTGCATCTCAAAAGAGGAGCCTTCACCTTCTGCTCTACCCTCTTCCTCTAATTCCCCACATCCCCTTTCTTTCTGTGTCTCTGTTGCTTCTGTCTTTAGCCTGTATTTCAAGGAAAAGGGTGCAACAATCGCTTACATGTTGCCTATCTCAGGACGGATCACACTACTTGACAAATACAGACTGTGCCATTGCTATGGGCACTGTGAACAGAAGCTTCCTGTTTTTACTGTTGTGTGTTCTAGTGTTGGTGTGTAGGCTGAGTTCTTAGGTTATCTTTCTGGTCCCACCACTGCATGTGGATTTAAGCTGCTTCTGTGTATATACACACTTCAGTAGATGGAGGCTGTGGAAAAACAGCCACAGGATAGGAGACTGACATGTGACATATTTGAGTAACAGCATTTACTTCTACATCTGTAAATGTAACCATGAGAAAACCTGTTGTACTAGAGCTTGCATAAACGTGGGAGGCAATGTTTGAACCGTGCTCTGTTTGAATCTGCTCCGCATTATTGAAAAGAGGTTTGTAAAGTCTCTCTATTAGATGCTAAATCCCCAGTGAAAATCAATCCGAGGCTAAGGTGTTTAAAAGAAGTGTATAGATTTTAGTTTTAGTCCAATGCTTTAGCATCGCCATTGCACTCATTCTTATTGACAGAATCACAACACAGACTGGTGGCTGCACCTGATGTTATCCAGACATATACTGTAAGTGATCAGCACAAAGGGTTTAGATCAGATAGTCAGGAAGATTTTCATTGAATCTGCATTCTCTTTATTAGGGTTTTTAATCATGCATTTCATGAGTCTGATGATGATGTAACATAGTCTCTCCAATTGTCACACTACCATGTGTTTGTGTCTCAGGTTACTCATTGATATTCAAGGAGGGAGGAGGAGGAGGGAAAGGGTAGAGGAGGTGACAGAGAAGGTCTCTTTGGTGCATGC